TTGATTTAACTGGCGACGACATATTTATTAAACAAATATTTAGAATCTAGTTAGGTTAAGCAACCATATTACAATGTAACCACAGATCTTGTCCCAAAGAACAATGTTATGTAACTGTTATACAAATGCCATGTGACCTGCTAGTTATGCTAGTGTGACATAGATTACAGGTGTCTTATTCCAACCAATTGTGAGAGACAGTTAACCGTAACACAAAGAGGATTTTCAAATTTTTTGTCAATACTGGGATTTGAACTCTGGACCTGCTACTTGGGAGTTGACAACCTAACTACTTCACTAGGTCATTACACACCTTTTTATAATAAAGTTTATAAAATAGTTTATATAATTTATCACATGTATATTGTAATGCAACTATTTAATCAACCAATTGGATTGTAAGATTAGATGTAATATAAAATTGAAAAAAATACTAATTTTTCTAAAAATTACTTGTAATTTGAAATTTTGCTTATAAATCCACTTTTTGCATTCTAATAAAAAAAATTTCTTGCAAAATTTTAATATTAAAATCAGTTTTATTATTACTTAATTCTGATCTATTTTAACACTAGCTTTTATCTTAAATTAATATACTAATTAGTTTGTTTTAATTTCATATTACATCTAATCTTATAAGTGCATTATAACACATATGTACAAAATAATAAAACTCTTATAAAATATATTCTTAAAAATATTTTTTATAAGCAAAGTATATTCTATATTATTAATAACTATTATTTGATTTAAAAATACTAAATACAATTTAATTTTTCAAACAAATTTGTCTAAAATATGATTTAAGAAATAATATAAGCTTAATAAATAGTTTAAATAGAATAATAAATAGGGATCTCAATAGAAAATTAATTAATAAATAAAGTATAAATAAAATTATAAAAGTTGTTAGTACTTTTTGTAATTGTTTCTAATAGTATTTTTATATCATATAATTAAGACTAATTTCATCTTAATACTAAAAAATAATAATAATAATTAAGACTAATATTTGTAATCAAGATTTTTAATATTTAGATAACATTATTAAATTATTTTATTTAATAAGAAAGTTCAAGTTTTGCTATTTATATTAACTTTTATATATTTTAATTTTACTATTTTTAATTAACTACTATTTTATATAATAACTTTTAAATTAGTATTTCAAATAAATAAATTTTTCATCTTTCTATTTCTAATTTATCTTTCAATTTTGTTTTACAATCAGTGCAACTTTCTTTTCTTAATACTATTAGCTCTAAGATTAATTTTTGGTATATATAATAGATTAAATATCAAACTAATCTTTTATATATTATTACTAACATCCAAATCTAGGTGAGTCTTGGTCATTCTAATTGGTTTAGATTATAGATAAATTAGTCTAAGCTTCTATTCTTGCTATGATATTTTAAAAGTAGATTTAAACTTTATATAAAAATCCTAATTAAATATTCAATAAAGGTAAAGACATAACCTCACTATTAATATTAAAAAATAAATAAAATAAATTTTTTAATATTAAAAAAAAAATAAAAATAAATAATTTTTTTTAATCTTTTATCTTTAATCTGTCTAATATTAATTCTTTTAAAATATTTTTGATAATAATTCAAAATTAATAATAAACTTGTATTTTAAACTAAATCTATTATTATTATTAGTTTATTAACTAATCTGTATTTTAAATCAAGTCTGCTATTACTATTTTTTTTTGCAAATGTCTTAGATTCTAATATTATTATAAATAATAAATGTTTTCTTAACTTCTTCTTTATAAACTTTTATATAGATGTAACTATTACTTAACTTGATATATTTAAATATATAGAAGTGAGTCAATAGAAAAAAAACAAATTATTTTTAATGAATTTTTTTTAATTTTTAAATTTAAATAACTCAACAACTATTTAATCAAATTTACTAAAAAAATGTTTATTTTAATCTTGAAATTATATAGAATTAATATAAAAAAATATTTATCAAATTTAATAAAATAGTTGTTAAGATATTTAAGTTTAAAGTCAAAAAAACTTTTACTTAGAAAAAATTTGGTCTTTTTCTATTAACTTCTCTCCATATTTCAAATCTTAAACTATATATAATACGTAGTATAAATATTAATCTTCTAAATATATTAAATTAAATTAAAAATTTACTAAAAAGCTTATTTTTTTAAAAAAATTTTTTAAATAAAAGTAAAATTTGAATAAAAACATTTGAACATGTTTATTAGCTAGTAATTTAGAAATTTTATTAATTGTTTACTTACATCTTAAATTATTTAATCCGCTTAATTGGTTAAAAATCGCACCTATGCCAATGTTTTATAATTTAGTCGACTAATCAGTTTTTATAACATCGACTTAGTCGATAGTTTTTGGCCTCGACTACTAACATTATCGACATTTATCACTGTTTAGAGAATAAATGTTCGACCTCACATTAGCCAATAGTAGTTAGAGTTAGAGTTTGGGTTACACGAATTTTGGTTATTTTTATTGGTTGTACTAATTAAGTTGTTACAAATAAGTGCGTAACAGGTTGTTATAATTAGATTCGTCCTAATTTATATCTTTATACAATAATTTGAAGCTACGTATCATTTTACTCGTACGTACGTAATTCAATAATACATTAGAAAAACTATAGATAATAAACACAGCTGATTGGTTAACTAATGTTGATCAGTAGTTTTATTTGTTAGTTCAGTAACATTCCTGACATGAAATAAATTATCTGCCCAAGACTCCCAGCGCATGAGCAGGCGAAAATCTTGTTATCGTTATGTAATTCTTCATAATTTATGCAATAAAATGAAAAGAAAATAACTTATTTACATGATTTGAAAAAAATCGATATGTATATATTTATATATTTATATATTTAGATGATTCCCCAATTTTCACTAGCACCACCAATATAATCATTATAAGAAGAAAGGATTGGCGGCATATAGCACGAGGATGGATTTCCAGAGAAATTCACATCGACACCGGAATCCTGCGATGTTCGATGATTAAAATTGGAAAGTATCGGAGCTGGAGTTGAAATTTCAGGACTATAAATATCTTCATCCTCATAGTTTAAAAAAGTGCGAGTTGTGATGTGATTATAAATAGGTGAGAAAAGAAATTCATCTTGCCCGTGTCCATCGTCCATGAGTTTTTTTCGAAACAATAATGTTCTTAGAGAGTTATCTGCAGATTGTGTAGTTTCCGAAGATTTTGTAATACCACCATGATTTGACAGATATTTACTGAACCCCGTTTGCTGTGGAGCCGGCGAAGCACAAGTTTCAGTAGGAGGATGATATTCTATAGTTGGTATCGACAAAAATAAATCTGCACATTGAATTTTGAGAGAAGGCTTTGATTTGTGGTGGGTTTTGGTTGGCGATGATGTTTCTTCAGAATCTTGGGGTGCAGTGAGGACTATACTAAGTGGTGAGCCGGTTTTTACTTGTGTGTTTTTGGAGTTAACAAGTTCTTGTGAATGACCAAGTAAAGCTGAGCTCATTTTAGAATCTTACAAATATACAAAAAGGAATGGTACTTATAAAAGTTTTTTATATCTTGTGTTTCCAATATTTTTTTGTTTTTTGTTTTTTTTTTTGAAATACTCTAGAATAAAAGCGACCTCAAGGCTTTAAATATTTTTCTAACTACTGCGGGTTATGATTAGCATGACTGATTATTTGTTTCATTTCACCGTAGATTACACATTTATGAACTGAATTTTCTAAAATTTCACCAAATTTTCATTAAAGTTTTCAACTTATTTAATGCTATTTTTATTTGCATGCATACATGTTTTTTTATGTATGTACGTACACGTAGCAAAGTTACGCGAACTTTTAAAAAGGTATTGTACGATTCTAAAAAGGTATTGTAAAACATTAAAAAAAAAAAGCTCCTATCAATTTTGTGATGATCTTGAAATTTAGGTATGAAACAAGCCTTCGTGTAATATAGGGGTATATAGTCTTAACCTTAATGCTAACCCAAATTATACGTATAATAAATTCTTATTCTTGATAAAACCAAATTCGCTGATTTTAAAAAAACTATATAATTGGTCATAATTTCCAACCCTAATATATATATATAACGTCGAGTCAGTATAATTTTTAAAAATCGGCCGGATTTGCTTATTTATACGTACTATAATTTGCATAATTTAGCTTCAAATACATATAAATTAGAATTAAATAAAAAGTTATATCCAAATAAATAAAAGATTGCTCTGTAACGGAGTAAAATAAACAATAACAAAATATTTATCATTTCAGTATTGTTATTATTGGTTATCTCATTAAGCATGATGTACCAATCTAATATATTTGAATTAAAATGTAATTATACAAAATTTTACATATTAACTTGCAATTAAATAAATATATTTAATATTTGAACATTTATAGAACATATTTATAAAAAAAATTAATTTAATTTTGATTACATATTGTTTAAAATAATCCCAAAATTAATTAAATTTTTTTTAAAAAAATTAAAAATTAAAAATTTTTTGATATATTTGTGCTATTATACAAGTATTTTGATGAAATTTTGTTACAGTCAACTCTTTATAATTGCACCCTTTATTAATGCACATCCTCTTTAAATGAACTCTTAAATATGGTTCCAAGTTTTGGCAATAATACTAAATGCACACCTTTTATACTCTATATATACAGAAAATTTTTAAAATTTATATATATAAAATTTTTTTTACAAATGCACATTCTCTCTAAATGAACCTTTAAATAAAATTTAAATCAGGACTATAGTGTTAAATGCACATCTTTTTTATATAAATTTCATATAATTTTCATTTGATTTTTTGCTATAAATAATAAAAATTAATAAAAATTTAATCTGCAAAATGTTTCACAAGTACAAATCTTTAACAGAAATTCAAAAATATAAGCTTTATTGTTATGCTCATAATAACAACAAAAAAACTAAATCAGATTATGTTCAATAGATTGAGCAAAAATAAAAGATTAAAGTTAGTATATCAACAATTACAAGAGTTTTATAAACTAAAAACAAACATCCTATAACAGAAATAAAAAATTTAAATACAAAATAGCACAAACCTGTTACTTTTTAGAATTAGAACTTGCTCTTAAAGAATTTATACTTGTTTATCAAAATAAAACCATTTGAGTGAAACATTAATTATTGAAAAAGCCAAATTATTAGCAAAAGGATTTAATATTTTAGAAAATGAATTGAAGTTTTCTAATAGATAGCTTTAAAAATTTAAAGATTATAATAGAATTTATCAAGTATTACTTTATAGAGAATCAGTATCTGCTGATAATAATACTATTACAGTATCTTTATCAATTTTGCAAGATAAATATAATTAGTATTCTCTTAAATGAATTTATAACATAAATAAAACTAGGCTATTTTATTAGTTTTTTTTTTATTTTTTTTATTTTATTTTATTTTTTTTTATTTTTTTAAAAAATATAGTATAGTATTTATTTATTTAATACTGTATTATTATCATTATTAAAATGTTAATTATAGGTTAGAACTAGATTAAACACTTGCAACACAATGTCTTTCAGACTGCAAAAAAACAAAGAGTATCTGTCTATTGCTTTGTGCACAAATGCTGATAGATTACATAAATTAAATCTATTAGTAATTGAAAAATATATTAAACTATGATGTTTTAAAAATATTAAAATTCAAAACTTATTTATTATGTACTGAAACAATACTAAAGCATAGATGCTTGCTGTTTTCTTTCAGAAGTAATTAAAGAAATTTAATTCTCAAATAGTACAAAAATACAAAAACTAATAGATGCTTTTACTATTTGATAATTGCACAAGTCATAAAATTGGAAGGATTAAATTTAAAAATATAAATATTTACTTTTTTTCTAAAAATATTACTTCAAAAATCCAACTAATGAATGCTAGAATAATTTTTTTTTTTAAAAAACATTATTGTTATTTTTAACTTTAGTAAGTTTACAGTCAGACCTTCCTAAATGCAAGCTCAAATTTGATCTAAATACCATAAAGTTGCATTTAGAAAGATCTGATTTATTTTTTTGTCTTTTGTTTTTATATATTTATTTACTATAATAATTTACTAATTTATTTATTTATTTGTTATTTACTTGTTATTGTAATTTTTTGCTTTTTATTTATTAATTTAACTCTAATTTATAATATTCAAAAACTGTTCACATTTATTATTAATTTATAAATTTTATTTTCTTTTAATTTATTGTTTACTTTTTTACTCTTTATTTATTAATTTAACTCTAATTTATAATATTTAAAAACTGTTTATATTTAATTTTATTGTTCACTTTTTTATTTATTTATTTGCTAGTATTCTAATTTACTAATTTATTAATTTATTTGTTTATTTGTTTACTTATTCATGTTTATTTATTCATGTTCACTTACCTCTATGTCTATTCATTTATAAATTTATTCTTTTGTTTACTTATTATTCACTCATTAATTCATTCTTTCATTGCTTATTATTGTACATCTATTTATTAAATTTATTTACACACTCTCTCATTAATTTATTTGTTCTTTCTCTCATTAATTTTCTTTTTTATTAACTTATTTGCTTTTTCTCTTATTAATTTATTTATACACTCTCATTAATTTATTTGCACTCTTTTATTAATTTATTTGTTCTTTTTTTTATTAATTTATTTGCTTTCTTTTTTATTAACTTATTTATTCATACACTCTCTTATTAATTTATTTATTCTCTCTCTTATTAATTTATTTATTCTTTTTCTCATTAATTTATTTGTTTTCTTTCTTATTAATTTATTTGTTCTCTCTCTCATTAATTTATTTGCTCTTTTTCTTATTAATTTATTTGTTCACTCTCTTATTAATTTATTTACACTCTTTCTTATTAATTTATTTACTCTCTATCTTATTAATTTATTTGTTCTTTTTTTTATTAATTAATTTATTTGCTCTTTTTCATTAATTTATTTGTTCTTTCTCTTTCATTAATTTATTTGCTCTCTCTTATATTAATTAATTTACTTACTTTTTCTAATTAATTTATTTGCTCTCACTCTTTTTTATTAATTAATTTATTTATTCACTCTCTTATTAATTTATTTGCTTTCTCTTCTATTAATTTATTTGCTCTTTCTCTCATTAATTTATTCTCTTTAACACATATTAATTTATTCACTCTCATATTAATTTATTCACTTTCTTACATAAATTTATTTGCTCTCTTATTTATTTATTTATTTTATTTTATTTTTTTTTATATAGGCAGTCATGCTAGTACTTTATTAAGATCATGAAATTACTACTGCAATTACATAAATGTACCT